CTGTCCCACCCTCCCACCCACCCGCAACTTGTTGGCAAACGACGATTATGCTGATGACGACGGTGGGGATGATGATGCCGACGCATGCAGGCAGAATGAGAGAGGTTAACCAATCAAAACAGCGATCGCTCTTGGTTGCAGTTTTCGCCATCACCGTTATCATACTGTCGTTCCGTCTCCCTCATGTGTCCTCGTCCTCTTCCTCTCCCTCGTTCTCGCCTAAGTTGCCTCGCGAACCCTGCCCCGTCCTCCTCAGATTTGATTGCGGAGGATCCCCCGAGGCGAGCTCCTGGAGGATCTCGTGAAAGCTTTTTGAAGGCCCCTTGGGCGCCTCTGGAGACGTCCCCAGCGCCTCTTGGCGGCCTCTGGGAGGTTCCTCGGGCCACCATGCCGCGAACCGTGGTCTCGGGTCACGGTTTGAATGCTTCCGGAGGACGTCTTGGGGTCATCTGCGGGCAGTTTCTGAACCCTCTTGGGCCGTCTTGGGGCTCTCTTAGAATGTCAGGACACCGTTCTTGGTCGTCTTGGAGCTGTTTTCGGTGCCTGTCGGGCGTTCTCGGACGCCCGGAAGACCGAATAACCTAGTAGCCCGAAATCATACAAAAACCCATAGACAATCAACCTTTCTTTCATTTCGGAAGCCTCTTGGGGGTGATGTTTGGGCCGACTTCGGGCGTCTGGCGGGGGTCCGGGGCCGCTGGGCGCTGGAGGCCATCCTGGACCGTCTGGGAGGTCTCTTGGGACCGCCGTCAAACCGTTTGCACGGCTTGGCAAGGACTTCCACAGGCCAAAGATCTCGCGAACCCTTTGAGGGGGCGTCCAGGAGCCCCAGACGCTGGGGATCCCGTTTCGGAAGGGGGGGTCGCACCTACCAGATCAATAAAATCATGGTCATGGGAAAACACGACCACACCTGAGTTCGATGCCCAATTAAGCGTGACTGGCAGAGAGAGGTCAGACCCGACTGGGATAGGCGCCACAGATTTCGAAACTCAACTCTTGCGCTGGTGTACAGTATGCCTCTTGCGAATCAACCTGCGGTTAGGCGAGGCCTAAGCTTGCTGCGCGAAGCGTCCTCCATCGCGATCAAGCGGCAGCAGGCAGCCTAAGCGGAGACGATCGAGCGAGGGCGCGCGCAGCGGAACTAAGCTAAGCTATCCGATGTACGTGGCAATGCCGAAACGAAACCATTCTGACTGAATGGTGTGTCCCGCGCGCGCGCGTTGCCCGCCTGGTCCGATTTGGCAGATATGGCAAAAACCGATGGCGAGCGGAGACATTCGGCAATTGCTTCTAGACTTTAACCAGCAAGGGCACCAAACATTTAGTCATTGCAATGCGAAAACTCTGTGACGCAATCTGCGTGGTGCAAGCTATGTGGTGCAGGAGCGAAACCTCGACAGACCCATCCATGTGGGCGGCAACGAGGCGGCAATGAGGCGGTAACGGGTAGAGACGCAGCGAAACCTCGACGGACACCCCAAGTGTGCGGCAACGGGGGCGGCAACGAGACGACCACGGACGGCGACGCGGCGAAATCTGAACGGACCCTCCATGTGGACGGGCGGCGAGGCGGAAAAACCTCGACGGACACCCCATGTGGGCGGCAACGGGGAGGTAACGAGGAGGCAACGTGGCGAAGCTTCGACGGGACCAGGAGTAGGCCGCAACGAGGCGCCAACGGGCCACGACGCGGCGAAACCTCGACGGACCCCCCATGTTGGCGGCAGTGACGCGGCGACGAGGCGGGGCCGGGCGGCGACGGGGCGAAACTTCGACGGGTTCCACCCACCCACCCCCAAATAGGCGGCAACGAGGCGGCAACGAGACGGCAACGGGCGGCGCCAAACGTCGACGGACACCCCAAGTGGGCGGCAACGGGGAGGTAACGAGGAGGCAACGGGCGGCGACGCGGCGAAACCTCGACGGACCGCTCAAAGTGGGCGGCAACCAGGCGGCAACTAGGCGGCAAGGAGGCGGCAACGAGGCGGCAACGGGCGGCGACGCGGCAAAACCTCGCACGACCCCCACGGGGAGGCAGGAGCATCCGTGGTGCACTCAGTGGAGCACCCGTGGTGCACTCGGTGGAGGACTCGATGTGGCGACGAAGCGTGCGAGGGGTGTGCCCACATGGGCCGGGCGACGTCATGCGAACGCACCCACTGGGGCCCTCGGTTTAGCTCCCGATGGGGCCCCAAAACGCGCGAACGGTGTGACGAAACGGGCGGGGCAACGCCATGCGAACGCACACACTGAGACCCCCAATGGAGCTTCCTGTGGGGCGACGAAGAGTGTGCGGGAAGTGCCGACATGGGCGCGGCGATGCCATGCGAATGCACCCACTGGGGCCCTCGGCGGTCGGCGGAGCCCGTGGTGCCATGCGGACCCTACAATTGGGGCCTTCGGTGGAGTTTCCTATGGGCCCCCGAAACGTGTGAGCGGCGGAACCACATGAGAGCAGGGACGCATGCGGACCCTGCAACTGGGTCAGTTTGCGGAGGTCCCCATGGGGCCACGAAGCGTGTGAAGGGATGTCCCGAAATGAGCGTGGTGCAGGCATGCGGACCCTCCCACTTGACCCTTCGGTGGGGCTCCTTATGGGGCCAAGAAGCGTTTGAGGGGTGCGCCGAAATGAGCGGGGAAACACATGCGGACCCTGTCTCTTGGGCCGTTGGTGAAGTTCCTTACATGACCACGATTTTTTTCCACCCAGCGAATACTGTACACAGTTTCGACTCCGGCGCTCAAAAGCACTGGGCGAATTTCTGGCGTCCCGGGGACATACATACGGTTTGGTCGGTCACACCGGTTCAAGCTTCATGAACGACCACGTAAACTTAAAGCCACATAACTACGAATGGCAGGTGGAAGCGGAGGGCGAACGGGCAGGAGAGGAGAGAGGAGGGAGGAGAGGAGAAGGGAAGGCTGATACGAAAATGCCCAAATTCGTATCGTCAAGTTCCGTGCGTTGCATGGCGGAGAACTAAATCGCACCCAACGGTGATAATCGAAGGGAAAATAACTACGCACAGAACTGAGCAAATCCCGGGTCAGCGCCAGCCGACTCTAGCGAGTCCGGGCGCCCCACTGACCATCGTCATGCTCCAAGGGGTGCCGCGCAACTTGGCGACACAATCGAGAGAATGGTGCGAAAAAGAATAAGGGGGACAGAAGAAGGCGGAAGGGAAGAAGAGGGGAGGAAGGGAGAGGGGAAAGAGAGAGGAACGCAACCCTTCTGGTTGTCTGGCGGGCGCCGGGAGTTGTCGGAGAGACCGCACGCGCTAAGCCAACGGCACTAGAGAATAGCGGGAGGCGGGAGGAGAGATGCCACGTCACGACCGCATTCAGACGATGAAGTAGTGGATGCTGTAGGTGTTGCTGTTGCCCTAACGGGCCCTGTTGGCGTAATGCTCGGTCAGGGGTGCGCGGAGAGCCACGCCGTCTGCCAGCGCCTGCGGCCAAGCGCCCGTGGCGGAGGCTTGCCCATGCCGCGCTGCGTTGGTGGCCCTGAAGGTCGCGTACAGCCCGAGAGCGCGGAGGGCAAACGTGCGCGGCGGCGCCCTGTCCAGCAATAGATATTCATGCAGCCGTGATGCCGGGGGGCCCGGCTGCAGGCACAGCTGTGTGCGGTAGAGCCGCGTCACGACGGGGCAGTAGGCGTAACGGCGCAGGTCATCATGTCCATGCTCACGACCAAAAAGACACGGCGTCGCCGGCTTGGTCGTCCAGCCATCCAGGAGCGCCTTGAGTACAGCGGCCCAAACGCAGGGCGGCACCATTGGCCCAAGGCGGCGGAGGGTACCTTCGAGGCGCTGTACCCGGTGTCCCGGCAAAATGAGAAAGGGCAAGCGGTCGAGTCTGCGGCGCAGGTGCCGGGAGAGGCCATGCGTGTCCCGAGTGCACAGTACCTCTCCGCATCGGCGTTGCCAGCTCTGCTTCGGAGTGGGGGAGGTGGCAGAACCTTGCAAGAGCAAATCTACGGAGAGCCCCTGGGTCGTCGCCACCGTTTCGAGCCAGCTCTGCGTCTCGAGGATCGTGCTGATGAAGTTGCCGTCGAACCATGGGGCCCAGGTGGCGAGGCGCTGCAAGTGGTCCGAGGAGGAGCGGGCGCGTTGAAGTCGCCGTTCACGACGGGCAAGTTGCAGGCCGCCATGTTGAATGTTTTCCCAACGATAAACACGACATTTGGCCCCCTGTGCCATGGCCTGCGCATTGGGGAGCTCAGCTGCGAATCACAAGCTCCGGAGGTGCTGCAGGAGGTCTGGGGTGGCCCATCCCCGGGCTCCGGGGAAGAGTGCCGCGAGGAGCCGCTGTTCCGTCTGCGGCCAGTGCGGTGGCAAGCGGTCCAGCTGCACCGCAAAACCTGCGAGCGGCAGAATGTACATGCGGCACGCTGCCAGCGTTACGAACAGGCCCCCGCCGATCTTGTGCCACGTCCACGCGCGGTCCTGCATCTTCTGGAACACCTCATCCCAGAGGCGCACCCCCCGGGTAGGGCCCAGCTAAAAACCGAGGTACTTCGCGTGGCCTGCGATGGTGAAGGCACCCCACCGGGCCGCGGCTGCGGCGACCGCTGCACGGACTTGTTCATGCGCGTGCAGGGAGAGGGGCACGATGATCGATTTGCTGCTATGTAGGCGAAGGCCAGAGACGAGGCCGCACTCGTAGAAGATCGGCTCCAAGTGGCCACAGTCTGCGGGGCCCCTGCGGAGGACGAGGGCGATGTCATCCGCGTAAGCACGAAGGACCACATCTGGGCAGAGGCGGCGAATCCGCCGCAAGACCACGTCGGATATGATGGCAAACAGCAGGGGGGATAGAGGGCAGCCCTGTCGAACCCCCGCGGTGATGCTAAAGCCGGCGCCTGTAGACCCGCAGAGTGAAAGGTGGCAAAAGTTGTTGGTGTAGAGGATGGCCACGAAGCGCCGGAACCAAGGGGGCCAGCCTCGCTCCGCCAGGACACGCTGAAGGAAGGTCTGGTCGAGGCTCGGGAAGGCCGC